GCCTCAGTTTCGGCGATCACCTCTTCATTCGACGAAAATTTTTTCCCAACGAGCATTCTTTTGAGATCTGAGAACAGGAAGTAGTCGCTGGGGGCCAGATCTGGAGAATACGGTGGATGCGGAAGCAATTCGAAGCCCAATTCATGAATTTTTGCCATCGTTTTCACTGACTTGTGAGACGGTGCATTGTCTTGGTGAAGCAGGACTTTCTTTTTCTGCAAATGCGGTCGTTTCTCGGCGATTTCGTCCTTCAAACGGTCCAATAACGCTATGTAATAGTCGCTGTTGATGGTCCTTCCTTTTTCAAGGTAGTCAATGAAAATTATTCCACGCGCATCCCAAAATACAGACGCCATAACCTTGCCAGCCGACTGTTGCGTTTTTGCACGCTTTGGAGCGGGTTCATCGTGTGCAGTCCACTCCGATGACTGTCGATTGGACTTCGGAGTGAAATGATGGAGCCATGTTTCATCCATTGTCACATATCGACGCAAAAACTCGGGTTTATTACGCGTGATCATCTTCAAACACTGCTCTGAATCATCAACTCGTCGTTGTTTTTGGTCAAAAGTGAGCTCGCGCGGCACCCACTTTGCACAGAGCTTTCTCATACCCAAATATTCGTGAATGATGTGATGTATACGTTCCGTTGATATCTGTAGAGTGTCTGCTATTTCATTCAATTTCAATTTACGGTCATTCAAAATCATTTTGTGGATTTTTTTAATGTTTTCGTCCGTAACAGCCTCTTTTGGGCGTCCACTGCGTTCACCGTCTTCGGTGCTCATTTCACCACGTCTAAACTTAGCATACCAATCCTTGATGGTTGATTTTCCTGGGGCAGTGTCCGGAAATTCGTTATCAAGCCAAGTTTTTGCTTCAACTGTATTTTTTCCCTTCAAAAAGCAATATTTTATCAACACGCGAAATTCCTTTTTATCCATTTTTTTCACAATAACAAAAGTTGCTTCACTAAAAATGTTATAATTCACAAACTAATGATCCGACAGCCGTCAAATTTATAGACGCGTCTTTTGAAGGTTAGGACTAACTGTAAATCATATGGATTTAGTTGTGGTGCCGCCATCTATGTGTCAGGCCGGTGACTTTTCAATTGACCCTAGTACCTCCACTGTTTCCTATCCTGAGTTAATCTTCATATTTCCTTAAAACTAGAACAAGAGAACGTATGAGAGAGAAATGAAGAGGTACTAGAAAGAATAGGAGAACAGAGGAGAACAGGAGTCAATAAAAAATAGGCGAGATACCTTCTCAGGCATGAAGGTCTAGTCATACACATATTAGAGGCAGAAACAAGTTAGGAGGGGTAGAGGTAGACCTAGGTTAGATTACTATTCGCAAATAGTTAAGGATGTGGGCTGTTCTAGTTTTAGGGAAATACGAAGATTAGGTCAGGATAGGACAGAGTGGAGGTACGTGTCCAACCCAGTCTTAGAACTGACGACCTTATGAAGATGATTCAATTCTTGTAAATTTTATAAACTCATTGAAATAACATCTTTACATTGGCCTTATAGTTGTACTAAAACGAATTTGTACTGTAAAACGTACTTCTTTTCAAGTTTTCTTCCCTCCCATCATAAATATAAAAAATTTCTCCCTGAAGTGTGATGTAATTTATGACAGATGAAAACAAAAGAAAAAGTAAACACCCAAATAAATTAAGCACCCACATAAGTTATTTTCCAGCACAGAACTGTCAGTAACTGCATCACTAACGATAATAGATAAATTATGGAGCAAGTTTTCTTCTCTTCGAAGCCAAGTTTGCAATGGGGCAATGGCAACAAGTGAAGGATCATAAATTAAATAGAGTCCAAAGTGTTGCGAGCTAATCTCATAATTGTAATAAACTGTCGTCCTGACATTCAAGATAACTGTTACGTGAATGCCATCAACTTCTATTTCAGGGAAAACTTATGCCAAAGGCGTGAAAACACGACAATGTAATGACGTGCGTAAACTGCTTAATGGACCTTTTATTTTACGCATACTTAATTTGAAGTGACGTTGGGGAAACGTTTTAGTTTCCACATACACACATAGAGAAGCGTTCCTGGAGAGCGGAACGGGTGAACAATTATCCCACCTCTTTACATGACGAATGCTTTACTTATGAAAGTCGTCCTTTACCCTGCTTTCACACAGACGGTAATTTCATTTTGCTTTGCGTTCACACTGCACACAGTTTTTCACTTCGGGTTTAGTTTTGTTTTGATACGTGACCAAAATGAACGAAAGAAAAAAACGGATGTTGTTACTAATGATATGGCATAATCGCAGAAAAACACAAAAAACAAGAAAATTTTGGATTCATCCACTACTTGAAAACAGACAATTGATGGGTGAATTTGTAACACTATTTCATGAGCTACGAGAGGATAGCTCCAATTTTTTTAATTATTTACGAAAGGGTGTAATATAATGTTTAGTCAAATAGACGTTTTAAATTAAATATAGCGGTGTTATTATCCGTCACACTATATAATTTCTTCTGTTAACTGCGCAATTCAGAGAGAAAAACGATCCTGAAAACAACTTTTGCCGTGTCAACACACGGCACGTGTGAATACTTCTATACACTTGCTTGTCTCACTGTTGCCGTGCACGTCTACGGCGCCGTGCCGTTGCAGTCCCCATGCCGTGCTGCGACGGCAGCCGTGTACGGCTCCGGCAGCAAACCGTGCAGGGTGAACGCTTGCATATAAACCAATGTATTACTATTATACACGGCACCGTTGCCGTGCATGGCCACGGCAAAAAACCGTCTGTGTGAAAGCAGGATAAGTCATTAACAGCAATATACAACGCAGTGTACAGGGTGCATAAAGGAGGTGAAATCACTCCAGACACTCGTCGTAACACTTAGTTCGATAAGACGACGCTTTCGTACACTTCGGCGAATAAAAGAAAGTTTCTGAGAAAATTTTACTATTCTTACAAGAATATATTAAAAGAACAGTTTTTGTTAATAAAATTCTAATGGGTTAATTCCTTAGCGCAAGTATATTTGTAATGAAAATCGATGCAACTATCTCCTGTGATGATACGACAGTCAGATGTGACTACTAAGGCGTCTAAATAAAAGATGGAGCTACACCTTAGGCCTGTTTCGATATGCAAGGTGTTGTCGTTATTCCGCCAATTATGAAATGATTATGATGATCCTTTTTTGTCATACTTCAAAGGTGGTCGTATAAAAATTTTATAGAAATTAATTCAGTCCTTTTTGATAAAATCAACAAAACTAAAAAATATACACACACTAAAAATTAAAACATAAGTTAATTAAAAAAAAATAAAAACAAAAACCGACTTCAAGACTATATCTACCTGTACAAACTGAAATTAAAAATTAGAAAATATATTAATTACTTCAAAGCAAAGTGCATTACAGAACAATCATTCATACTAATGTACATTTAGAATTTAATAAAATCAGTTATTTTTGGAGTCGGTACCAGCCAAAGCAAAAATAATCTTAATAGATACGATACCTACATGATTAAACAATTAATATAATAATGCGAAAGTAGAGATTAGATAAAAATCAGACAAAAAGTTTGTTGCGAAGGCAGGATTAAACTGTTCCTATCGACCGGCATCATCATTAGGTTGTCAGTCCTAAAACTGGTTGGACACGCACCTCCTCTCTTTCCTATCCTTTGCACAATCTTCGCATTTCCCTAAAGCTAGAGCAACCCATATCCTTAAATATTTGCGAACAGTAATCTAATCTAGGTCTACCTCTACCCCTCCTAACTCCTCTTTCTGCCTCTAATATGTCTCTGACTAAACCTTCATGCCTGAGAAGATGTCCTACTAACCTATCTCGCCTATTTTTTATTGACTTCCATAGAGTCCTCTGTTCTCTTACTCTTTCTAATACCTCTTCATTTCTAACCTTCTCTATCCACAGTGTCCTTATTATTCGCCTTCAACACATTTCAAACGCTTCTAACCTTTTCTTTTCCGCCGCGCTCACTGCCTATGTTTCGCACCAGTATAGCGCCGTGCTCCAAACATACACCTTTCCAATTCTTAAATTAACCGTTTGCAAGCATAGAAGTGACTTCTTTTTATTGAAGGCGACTCGACCCTGCGCTATCCTTTGTTTTATATCCTTGCTACTCCTTCAGTCCTGACTTATCTAACTTCCTAGGTATCTAAAATCGCCCACTTCTACTAATTTTTCGTCTCCTATCTTTATATCAGCTCTTTCCCTACTTTTTCTTCCCTTGCATACCTGTATTTTTATTTTATTTTTATTTATTTTCATACAGTACTGTTTTGTCAATACCTCTTCCATTTTATTTAAAGCTATCTCTAACTCCTCCTTGCTAGATGCTAATACTGCTATATCATCTGCAAATCTGAGCATACTAATCCAAAAATAACTGATTATAAATTGTAAATGTGTATACGTATCAATGATTTTGTCGATTGTTTTGTGCTCTTTGCTTTGAAGTTATTAAAATATTATTTTCTACTTTTTAGTTTAAGTTTGAAGATGTAGGTATGATATATTTTTTATTTTTTTACTAAAAATTAACTTTATTGAATGCCATACGCGACTTTAAACCACCAATAGTGCCCGCAAGTGATAATCGGCGGCAGAACCACACTTAAGGAGCCAGAGTAAGCCACATGTGGCCCGCGAGCCACGGTTTACCGACCACTGTCCTAGCGGACTAAAGAAGGTCACACCAGTATATTTATTGATTATTATTAATAAATAACAGTCTTCCTATGCTTAAACCATAACGTTTCATTTCACTTCTTTCCGATCTGGACCATCTCAATTTTTACACTTACTTACACTTTTTACATTAAATCGTTAAAGAAAGCAAAATTTTAATAATGAATAAGTTATAATGCTTTTTAAATAATTACACTCACTACACCCAACAAATAAAGTAATCTAAATAAATGCATGGTACCAGTTTTAATAAATTTTGTATAAAAAATAAACACCGTACCTTTCTTGTCGAATATAAGCAAGATGGTTCGCTTCATCCCCTTGCACCGCGGCCGCCATTATAAATTCGTGATCGGGGTAAACAAGAGGGTCATCCGGTAAATCGACTTCTTGAGGTTTCGACTGCTGGAAAAAGCTGACCCGCACCTTTTCCCTTTCGGCCCTGAAATATAACATAAGCATGAATAATGGTTTCACGCCGCAAAAATAATCCTGCAAAATATTATACCTATTCATTGGCATACTTAGAATTAATATTAAACATTAAACTGAAATTAACTTTCTGTCTTGTACATATTACCCCAAATAAATGGGGAAAATTGCTTTTTGAAGTGAAACTTCTTTACGCACGGTAGCGTAAGTTCGTTTCATGCGAATTGCTATGTAACGAAATCGTGCAACGCATTTCCCGCGCTGTCTGTCCCTGTGTATGCTTAGATATTTAAAGCTACGCAACGGATTTTAATGCGGTTTTCTTTAATGGATAGAGTAATTTAAGAGGAAGGTTTATAAATTAAAACATTAAAATCATAATAGGTTCGCAATTTCCTGAACTTGCTTAGAATCATAATGTTACGTTAAGCCAAGACAACATTTACTTCGTGAGTATTGCTACGTAGTATCACAGTCGTCTCTACTTACAAGCCGTGCTGAAGATTTATTGGCAACACTGTGGGAGTCCCAGGATTTCCCAGTTTATGAGAGTTAAACTAATACTTTGGTTGTTGTGTTTCTTTTATTGTTCTATAATATTTTAATTTTAGCGGAAATATCGTGCAATAAATGTGCAATAAGGATGCTTATAGTGTGTTTTAGTGATTAATACCTTTAGATACTGTTTTTAATTGCAGAAGGTAATATTAACTATTAAGTGAAAGAAGTGAAAATGTTTTAGGTCAGATTGTGTGTTTTAGTTGTAAATTTTCTTGTTTATTTCTTAACATAATGCCTAGTCGTTGTTGTGTTCCCAGTTGCAATTCAAATTATAAATAATCTTTAAAATGTGTGATAGTATCTATAAATTCTTATCTAAGTCACTGGTAAAAGTTGGTAAATTTTAAATTATTTATTTAGATTTACAAACTAACTCCTACTTAACTGCTATCTTAGTAGATCAATTAGCAACCGTTTAAATAGCGCAATCAATAATAAATAATCGGAACATCGAAATCAAGATGATAAAGAAGTAAATGATGCAGGGTGGTGAGGCGGTTTGCCGTCTTCACTCACCTTATAAGCAATTTTCTACGTTCTCTAATCATATGATAAGGTACGCTAATATTATTATTATATAATTAAATTATTTATTAATAATAGTCATTGTTTGAGTAAATTAGCTAATATAAAATTGTTAAAATATTTGTTGACTAAGTTACTCAAAATTATATATATTCACTTTTGTAACAGTATTGGGCTTTTTACTGGCATGATACATGTATAACTGAAACAAGGCATTTACGATCAAATGGACGAATGCATTTATTTTTTATTGTCAGGCGTCAGCATGTAGAATATAGGTGATATGAGTAATAGCACGATGATCGTCTGTTTTGTGTTAAGATCTATTGGAGCAGAGTCCACAACTACGACAGAATTCCCGGGCCTACTTTGCAGGAAAATGGAAAAAGAATACATTAATTGGGTATCTTGGATTAAAGTAAGAATTTTACATGTGATGTGACTTCTTGATAAACGAAATAAAAATTTTCTTGTAAGTGTAAAATAATTAAATTAAAAACAAAATTAATTAATCTTTAGACATTAATTCTTGGAAATCAAGAGTCTAGTTCGTAAAACCCAAAATTCATTCGTATGAGCATGAAATGTAAATGGGTCGAAATTTCCAGATGCAATAACTCTGTATACCTAATTCCAGATATTAATTTACTTATTTCGAAGAACATTACGTGCTTGCATTTTAAAAAGCAAATCCGGTAATACACATTGGTCTTCTTGAGAGGTGTGTTCTAATTAATGACATCAGGAGTAAAACCGTTATAAATTTGCTTCAGTGTAAACTTCCTATTTCTATACGTACAATAAGCAACAAAGAAGCCTAAAGCTATAAAATTGTGTAAAAATCTTAAAGGAAACGATAAATCATACGTAATAGCGACCACGCAAATACAGAGTTATTTGCAGGAACAAGATGCCTCCAAGCATTCCAGAGACGTACTTAACTATTTATTAATAATTAAATTACCATCAGGAATGTTTTACTTAAACAGTAGATTTAGCCTAATATTATACACCGACAGGATACGCTTTATCCTTATATAGCATGGACCATACGTAATCCTAAAATATAGCGTCTACAGATGGCGTTTACTGCGCCATTTGTGGTATTTTCTAAAACGCGCTGTTAAGACAGCAGGTAAAAGTTGGTCTGTGTTCTGTCGGAGCTGTCTGCTGATAAGAAACTGCTTTAATATTCCTTATTTCCTCATGGATTTCAAAGAAAACAGAGGTAAAAGAACGTAAAAAGTTGCTGGAGGCAAAGTAATATTCGTTTGTAATTTAAAAATGTAATTAGCTTTGTCTACAAAAAATTATTCTTTCAAGAGAATATTTCAACGTGTCCAAAGTGATTTGGCAACCCTGTTCGAATGACGTTTTCATGGAAAGGATAATCTTTATATACTTCATTTACTTTCTCTAGAGATGTGCCTCTTCCAATGTCTTGGATACGCGCTGGCAAAATCGTAGGTAGGGAGAAAAAAGCTCATTATACTCTCGACTCTTGATCATTAAATATACTTTTTCATAAAGGTAAAAGTTGGTCTGTGTTCTGTCGGAGCTGTCTGCGACGCGCTGATGAGATCCAAAAAGATCGAAATCGCGATCCACGTCTGGCAATTTCAACAGAATACAGACCACTTCGAATTATTTTATTCGATTATACTTTTTCATACAGTACCTGCCAAAAGTTTTGTTCTATCATGAATAGTAGTGCGAATCGAAAACAAGCGTTAAAGGCTTTAATATGTCTTCAAATATAAATAAACATCTCGTTGATATTTTCAGTAGTAAATGGTACCAATAACAGCACATTTGAGCAATGCAATTGTAGTGGATAAAATGGTCAATTTTTCCGTGCAGTACTGTACGGATTATACGCTCCTCACCGGTTAAG